GTATACCATCGCAAGGGTCGCGCACGAGCTTCGTGCCCAACACGGTGATGGAGAAGGACGTCGACGAGAACAAGGCGGTCAAGCTTATTGGGGCGAGGGTCGCGACGAGGACGCCACGGACCACGAGCTGGACGAGGAGGACGCGAAGGACTTTGACACCAGCATCTTCGATGAGGAGGAAGCCGCTTTGTGGAATGAGAACCAGGAGGAGATTGAGTCAGCGCACGCGGTGCTGAGGGAGGCCAGGCGTACATTGCGCTCAGCCCGAGAGAAACAGCACCAAGTCAAGATGTCGCGGAAATATTTCCGCCCTTCCGGAGGAAGCCACGACGGCCCACCTCGAGATGATTCCAAGATGACGTGCCTACGGTGTGGAAAAGTGGGCCACAGGGCAAGGAATTGCCCACAGAAGCCTAAGGAGGGATCCTCTGGGAGTGGTGGGAAGGAGATGGCGCCTTTTGTGTGCTATGTGGAAGGCCTCGAGGAGGCAATGACCGTGGGGCCCCCAAGCGGACCCACCACACAAGAGGCGGTCGCCAATGGTTGCTGCGTCATCGACGGGGGAGCAACTCGGACATCCCCATCTGTTATTGGGGGGGGGGGGGTCCAAAAGTGCAATCTGCAGTTTCCGAGGTCCCCCCGAAGGTTATGGTTGAGGGTCAGGACAGGAAGTCAGGCCGACAGGCCAAGCCCGAGAGCAGATGCCAAACTCTTGGGACACCACCAGCTCTGGCCAGATTCCACCCTGAACACCCCAAGCCCCCTTGCCACGCACGTCTAAGAGCCAGAGCCTCGCCCCCAAATTGTGTTTTAGCCCTCTTGCACAATGGATCCCTGAAGCACCTGTTCGAGACACAAGTGGCAGTGGCTGCGTGATCCCCGGGCTCCCCTGTCGCGGCCAGCCCCAAAAGCCTACACCTAAAATCTGGGAGCATGATGCGCGGCTGATCCCCGGTCAATCATAGTTCCCATGAAATACAAAGTGCACTGGACGAATTGGCACCTCCGCACGTGGCATTTCTAAAGTTTCGAGCTGAAGACCGTCACATGTATAAAACGCAAAGAAAAGTACGACCAATATGTCACGCTCCATGTCACCTGCACATGTCGCGAACCTTTTTCATACCTCCCAAAACCTTACCTGCACTTACGACCCCTCCCCCCCCAGCCAAGCCAAAAGTGCAGAATGCAGAAGTGCAAGAATCGACCTACCCCCCCCCCCCCATCCTGCACTTATTAACAATAGGGGATACTCGGACCCTTGGCTCAGTGCGTGCGGTGGAAATGGTCCTGAAGAAGAACATGGCAAAGCATGGGACTGATCGGGTCCACTATGTGGATGTGAATGACAAGCCAACCTGTGGTTTCGGCAACTCCTCCGAAGGGCAGTGCATATCGACACTGCACCTCGGGATCACCGCCGACGAGAAGCCGGGCAGCCTGGTCATTCATGCACTCGATGAAGGTGAAGGACCTATTCTGTTTTCCATCGATGCTTTGCGAAAGTTAGATGCCATAGTGGATTTTAAACAGGACTTAGTTGTGTTTCGAGCCCTCGATCCAAGCAAGATTATACCGCTCCAGCGTTCCCAAACGGGACACCAGCTCATGGATTTGACAGCAGACATCTTTGCAGCAGCACGGCAGGCTGAACGGCCTGTGCCCTCGCTGTTGGCCTATATCTGGGGACAGCTCCTCCCGGATGACGAAC